GTGCAGACACGGGGTTCTGTGGGCGTGATTCACGTGCCTGCAGGGCCCAGAAGACCCTTGTTCACACCCAGGGTCTGGACGTGCCGAGTATTCAGCAGGGCTCTGCGTGTCTTTCCCCAGCTTTGGCCCAGGCCCTGGGGAAGGTACCCTGGGAGCTGCTCAGTGGTGCTGGTTCTGGAACCCTCGGTGCTCCTGAGTGCGCCAAGAGCAAGTGTGACTTAGGACTGGGGGTCGCCTGACCAGAAGCCACCCGGCACACCCGCTTCTTGACGGCCGTGGGAGAGCTGGGAGGGCTGTCACGCGCTTGGAAGGCAGCTGGTGTGAGTGACCGACCGGCTCACTGTGTGCCCCCAGGGCCATCTCCACAGGGAGGGAGCAGAAGCCGGGCCTCGGGGGCAACGGTGACTTGTCCCAGAATTGACTTGGGGCACTTCCGGGCTCACGGTACTGCCCAGAGCGGTCACGGAAAGGGGCTGTGGGTGCACAGGCTCCTGACCCGCGCTGCTCGTGCTGTCGAGTGGCTAAAGGGGAAGGGGCAGACACGTGGGGCCCAGGCCCCTTCTCTGGGTCTTGGACAACCGCCCTGCAGAAGCGGCCAGGGCCTGACAGTGAAGGGCTGGGAACCCTGGGTGGGTCCCTGGGAGTTCTGTGCTCCCTGGCCTCGCAGGGCGGCAGACCTCCGGTACAAACGGTCACCAGGCGTGAAGTCACCAAGAACTTCAGGTGACGGCGGCAGCAGGAGAGCTGGGGCCTCTGGGCTCGGCAGGGCACAGGGCTCCCTGTCTGCACAGGCCGTCCCTGGCCCCTGGGCCTGTGCAAGGACCCGTGCCCTCCCCACCATCCCCACCAGCCAGAGTGGTGGGCGAGTCGGGGGAGGAGGGGCTGGTGGCAGGGCAGGAAGGGGGAGCGGCAGGGCAGGAAGAGGGAGCACAAGCAGCTCCTGACACAAACCTAATGGCCTGGCCAGAGCCGCCACCTGGTGCTGTCCTAGAGGACTTCCTGTGGGTCCTGCAGAGGACAGGGGCATCGTGAGGAGGGACAAGGCAGAGAGGGCCCCCAACCCAGGACCCTAGTGCGCCCTGTGACACTGACCCCACCCCCGCTCCCCAGGGCACTAGCGAGCGCTTTGTCACTGCTGCCAACACAAGAGGCCTTCCTGGGTACAGATGGGGACACTGAGGCTCCGTTGGCCCAGCCCAGAACCCATGCTGGCCCCCATGCTTGAGGACGGGACTCCACTGACTGCAGACCCCTCACGCCTGGCCCTGGGGTCAGCCAGGTGATGAAGCTGTCGAGATGCGAGAAAATTCTGTCCTTGCTGTTCAAGAAACGTCTGCTCTTGGCCTCGTACACGGTGGCCCCAGGGCAGGCGCCCTTAGCAGCCTCGTGCACAGTGGCTAGGGCCTCAGTGGTCAGGTCCCCTGCCCCCCTCTTGGCTGAAACCCCACTGCGCTCTCGCATGACCTTTGTCCTCCCTTCTGTCCCCCACACCCCACCCCTCCCTGTGCTCTGTGTCCTCTCCAGAGCGACGGTTGGAGGGCAGGCCTTCTCGCACAGCAAGCAGGGACCAGGAGGTCCCCAGAAAGGCCTGGCGGGGCAGCCACTGTTGCCAGAGCTCACATGATGTGTTCCACCCCTGCTCCCCCCCACTGAATGGCCACACTTGCCTCCCTGTCACCGTCGTCCCAGCACTGTCCCCTCGTTCCTGCTCACACTGTGTCACGGGAACCTGTCACCACCCCAGAGTGGCCAGTACACCTGCAGCCAAACCTGCTCATCCGTGCGCACAGCCCAGCCGGCCCCGCTCGGGGAGACTGGACGCCGCCCTGGCTTGCAGGACGAAGCAGGTGCGGGTCACGTCATGGAGAGACAGTCCCCACCAAACACCAGGATGACAGCAGTCAGGGTCCCAAAGTCACTGAAGACCTGGGCTGGGTGTCCCAGGGCAAGGTACTCCTCACCAGTGGGCCAGAGTTGTGTCAGGTGACGGGAGACCAGGTGGGGTCGTTCTGGAGGGGATGCGGGGCACTGGGACACCAAGAGCAAGAGGCATCCCATGCAGCCCGGCTGGGCCCAGAGCAGGCAGGAGGGTGGGAGGCCACCCCAGTGGCCAGGAGGCTCTGCTAAGCACCGGATGAAAGTGCATGGGGGTCTGCCCTCAAAAGGAGGTTGAGCTGCCCAGACCAGCGTGGACCCCTGGGGAAGCGAGCTAAGTGGCTCCTGCAGGAGGTGTGGCCTGCGCTGGGTCTCACCTTGGTGCTTGCAGACCCCCGAAGGAGACGTGGACGTTGTGGGCTACGTGTTTTAGCTTACCTGCCACTTTTCTTCTCATCGTTTCAAGCTGTTCCTTCCCAGCACATCGTAAGTATCCCCATATGGAAGCACAACCGAGCGGCCTTTTCAGGGTGTCCGTTGGGATCCACATGCACTCACATGGCCAGGCTGGACAGGAGGAACCCTGACCACGCCTCTGTAAAGCGCGTGTGGAAAGTAAAGGTTAGGAACGCCTGGCTCTACTGCACAAGATGAGAGGGGCACCTGTCCGCCCGCCCACGCGTGTGCACTGCAAAGCCGCGGCAAGGACAAACCCACTGCAGACATGCCAGCCGCACCTGGGGGTCTAAGAGACGGTATGCTGCTTGGTCAACAGTGGCGGGGAAAGACCCCTTGTTCTACGGAGAAAAACTAAGCTGCATTTCTACCTCCACGCATGGTCTTCCAGCTCAAGGTGTGACTGCTGGGTGAGTAACGCCACCTGTGGGGTTGGCAGGGCTGGCGATCTGGCCCAGTCGTCTCCTGGAATCTCCACGTTACAGATCACCAACCAATTCACCTCAACGCAGAAACGAAGCTCATTTCGACGCGTCTGCTTGAGTCGACGGAAGAATGAGTGTGGGGGGCACGGCATCCTGACCCTAGAGGGGCACCGGGCTGCCTTCGTGACGTGGCAAAGAAAACCACTAACCACTGGGGTAAACACAACTACATCATCTGACTACATCAAAATTAAGGATTTCTATCCAGACTCCATGGACAAACCCAACAGACAGGAGGACTTGAAGGAGCCTATAAGCAGATTAACAGAGCAGCTGCTGTAAGTCCAGGACCTGCACGTGAACCAGCAACAGGACCTCTCAGTGTGCAGGGGCTTGAAGAGGCAGTAAACCCACAGGGAACCAGAAAAGGCGGACTGAGAACACTGAAGCGACATTGCCCTTAGGGTGGCAGTTGCCAGAAAGCAGATGATGCCAAGAGCTGGGGACGTTATGGGGACAGAACCTCGTTTTCATGGTAGGGCTGTGGTCCAGCCTTTCTGGAAAGCAACACAGAAGGTCCCCCCAGTGGCACCACTCTGGGAGGTCCCAAAGGGCCTTAGGGACGTCCATGCCATTATCTGGGTGGGGCATCTGGGACAGCTGGGAAGTGTCTGGATTATCTGGGGGCTGTCTGGGCTTTGGGGGCTGTGGCTGAGTTATCTGAGGGCTGCTGGGTTTGGAGGGAGCTGGGTTGTCTGGATTATGTGGGGTCTACGTCTTCTGGGGGACAGCTGGGTTGTGCAGAGGGACTCTGGGTCATCTGGGGAGCTGCTGGGTTATCTGAGGGCTGGGAAATTGGCAGCCCAGCTGTGTCAGTAAGTAGTAGACAAATAAAACGTGCTGGAAGCCAGGGCTGGGCGTCGGTTCAGAAGCACCTGCGAATCTCATGAAGACCCTTGAGAAAGGTGAAGAATGGCGAGGGGTGGAGGCTCACCCCAGGGGCTCAGAACCTGTAAATACCTGTGCCCCAGACACGGAGTTACTGCATGAAGTTAAAACTGCAGCCACACTAAACACTTCACAAAGACGGCACGTGTATGTCCCATAATAGTGGCAAGGGGACAAGCCGTGAAGAAAAGGAAAACATGATGAGCCACAGAGGGTCCTGGCGGCAGCGGGGTTGACGGTGGCGCCTGCGCTCAGCGCTGCAGACCAAGCCCAGCAGAAGTGCGCGCGGTTGTCCAGAGGGCGCCGGCGGGCACGGCCGGGCGTGGGGATGGAGCGGATGGAGGTCGGGAAGGTGGCGGGGAGGCCAGGCCGGGCGCACCAGCCCCCCAGAGCCTACCCCGGGGGCTGGCACAGGCCGGCCCCCAGCGTGTCGGTCAAACGAGGCAAAGGGAGGAGTGAATGAGACGTGCGGCGGGGAGGCGGTGCAGGGCAGAGGAGGAAGCGGGGCGCGGGAAGTGATGTGCGGGGGCTCCGGCGCTGGGTGATGGGAAAGACGCCCCGCAGTGTCCTCGGGCCGCTGCCCCAAACCCTGGGGGGGGGGGTGCCAGTGCCCCGCGTGCGTCCCAGCGCCCACGCGGTGTCCAGGCTCCGGGCCGGGAAGCGGTGCAGGCGCCAGGAGGCGGGACGAGGAGACCCCTCCTCGCCGGGGCGGCTCCCGCGACCGCGAGCCGGCGAGGGGGCCCCGCTCGGCCTCTCCCACCCTCTCCCCAACCCGAGGAAGAGGAGGAGGGGCCAGTCATTGTTAATTCATTTTATTTAATTTAAATATTTTTTGCAAAGTCATCGCCGGCGCCGCATCTGCGTGGCGGGGTGGGGGGGAGGGGGCGGAGCCACGCAGCCGGTCGCCGCAGGTAAACAGCCCCCTCCCCGCGGTGGGAGCGGGGCCCCGGCCCCAGCCAGGGACAGCAGCCGCCGCCCCCGCCGCAGGGACGCGCCAGGCCCCGCCAGGGCTGCAGCCGAGGCGGGGGCGGCGGGGCGCGGGCGGTCCGACCCCTGCCCGCAGGGGCGGCGGCGGAGCGTCCCCCACCCCCGCGCCGGCCCGGCGCCCCCCGCACCCTCGCCACCCTCCCCTGCCGCCCGGCGCCCCCCATCCGTCCCCGCGTCCCCGCCGCCCCTCCCCGGCGCCCCCCGGCCGGCGCTCCCCGCCCGCGCCCCCGGCCCCGCGGCCCCGCCCCAGCGCCCCCCGCCCCGCGGCCCCGCCCGCGCCCGCGCCCCCGGGCCGCGCCCCCGCCCCCCATGCACCACCTCCTGGAGCAGTCCGCGGACATGGCGACGGCGCTGCTGGCCGGGGAGAAGCTGCGCGAGCTGATCCTGCCCGGCGCGCAGGACGACAAGGCGGGCGCGTTGGCCGCGCTGCTGCTGCAGCTCAAGCTCGAGCTGCCCTTCGACCGCGTGGTCACCATCGGCACCGTGCTCGTCCCCATCCTGCTGGTCACCCTGGTATTCACCAAGAACTTCGCAGGTGAGGCTGGGGGCGCGTCCGCAGGTGTCGGGCGCCGGGCGCTCCCCGAGTCCCCGCGCCGGCATCCCTCCGGGGCCTCGCGGTGTTGGCGGCGCCCCGGGGGTCTCCCCGCAGATCCGCAGCCACCGCCGCCCTCCCCGCATCGCTGCATGTGCCGCCGGTCGCCTGGGGCTGCCTCTGACCCCCCTCTCCTCCCATGTATTGTTTTTACTTTCCCCGCGCTCCCCGTGAGCCCGGGCGGACCCGGCCCGGCCCTGGTGGTCTCAGGCACAAATGAGACTTGGGTCTGGCAGGAGAGACCAGGAGGGGGAGTGGGCCGGCTCTGAGGGCAGGAGGAGTGGCCAGGTGGGGACCAGAACAGGCTATTACAGCTGAAGCCAAAGGCTGTCAGAGCGCCGGCTGCGGGCAGAGCCAGAGCGGCAGGACCGGCAGGGAGGGGCCCTGGGACCCGGCGGGGTCTGGTCAGCTTCAGGGGGCGGCCTTGCTCCGGGCACTGAGAGCCCAGAAGGTTTGCGGCAGGACCCTGAGGCCAGGCCGAGCCTCCCCCGGGGGCTGGGCAGCGAACCCACCTGGCCAACCAGGAGGCCCACGCAGGCGGGATAGGGCAGTGACAGGAACCAGTGCGGTGGACGCTGCGAGAGGCTGAGACCTTAAGCTGACAGACGTGGGGGCGCCAGGAGGACCTCCCCACAAGTGACCCCGGGCGAGGCAGCCTGGGAGGCACCGGGAGCAAGGTGACAGAAGAGTGGCCTCCCTAAGGAGCGGAGCTGGGCGGGGAGAGGTGGGCGGTGGCCCACCCAGATCTGGCGGGTCCAGGGAGACCCCCCGCGGGCCTTCGGGCCAGGCTTGAGGGCCAGAGGTGCGTGTCCGTGGCAGAGGGGGCAGGGGTCCCTGTGCAGCCCTTGAGGAGGGCTGTCCCCGAGTGACACCGGCAGACATTCTCCAACTCTGCATTGGCTCTTTCACAAAGGGCTCGATTTTTAGGGGTCCCTATGACCTGGGAACCCGACAGACCTGCGGTGGCCATGTGCAGGCCACCTGATCAGAGACTGGGGGGCCTCTGCAGTTTCTCTTTTCGGACACGAGTGCCCGGACACTCAGACACTCCTGGGACAGGACGCGCTCCCAGGGCCGGGGCAGCACGATGCAGGGGCAGGTGTGACCCACAGTGTCTCTCAGGTCACATAGGTGTGTCGGGTTTCTGAGATGACTGTAACTAGTTGACTCAACTGTCATGGTCTGGAGATGGCACGTCCAAAACAAGGTGTGGGTGGGGCCTCTCTCGCAGAGGCTCGGGGAGGGTCCCTCCTGCCGCTCCAGCTTCCGGGGCTGTCTCACCCCGTCTCCGCTTGCCTCTCGGCATGGGCGCCCTCTCCCTGGGCACGTGCTCCAGATTCCCTCTTCTTACTAGGCCACCAGCCATTGGCTTGGGGCTCCTACTCCAATGGGACCTTATCTCTCTCTTTTTTTAAGATGTATTTAATTGAGAGAGAGAGGGTGAGGCGCGCCCAGCGGGGAGGCGGAGGGAGAGAGCGTGTCCCAAGCAGCCTCCCTGCTGAGTGCACAGCGAGGACACCTCACCTACCGAGGCCCCCGGTGCACCCAGTGTGCGCCCGGTGTGACCTTCTCAGGGTCACGTTCCCCAACAAGGTCATAGTTACAGGTACCCGGGGTTGGGACTTCAACGTCCTTTGCGGAGAACACAATTCTACCCACTACGGACGTGCACGGTGGGGCAGGCTCAGGACTGTCATCCTCAGGTGACCCCCCCCCCAGGGACAGGGCCTCCGTTCTCATGCTGTCCTGAGTCCAGCTCACCCCACATGGACCCTCAGCACCTCTTCATCCCCGGTCAGGCCTGGGCTGCCAGGGTCTCCCGAGTTCACCCTTCATCACCAGTCCTGGTAGCTCCCTGGGCCTTCCTGTGCAGGCCTGCCCCCCACGGAGCCCCCGTACCGACCTGTGCTTGCACGGGGACATGCCTGTGCCCGCATGGACAAGGCAGGCTTTCTGAGCAGTGGTGGGCAGGCTGGCCGCTGCTGCCTGGCGTCCTGGGCCGTGCTGCATGTCCGTCGAACACACCTGCCTCAGCACCTGCGTATGCCTGAGGGACCCTTGTCCTAGGTCACAGAACACAGGAGGGCTGCCCCACTCCCCTCAGGGACCTAGATTAGGGTTCAAGGCAGGACAGGACACAGGACGCTGAGCGGGTGTACGCAGTGAGCTGTCTCTCGGTGCTTCAGACAGAACGCAGAAGCATCCCCAGCCCCTTCCCCAGACCCGAGGACAGGAGGGGTGCGGGGGGGAACCATGCGTCCACAGGCTGAACTGGGGAGGGCCTCCTGACATGCTGACACATGCGGACAGCTCCGGTGAGGGTGCGAGAAGGAAGCGAGGTCAGAAGTGCTGACCCTCAAAGGGCACCAGAGCCGCCTCCATCCAACACCCCCGGCCCCCCGCAGTGCTCCATCCAACACTCCGGCCTCCATCGCTGACGCCCCAGCCCCGGGGCACAGGCCAGTGTGCCCTGCCACTGCCGGAGGGACCCACGCCCCAGCTGCTAGGACCTGGCTTGGAGCCAGGGGCTGTGACACTCACCCCACCCCCCACCCTTACTCGGGTCCTCGCTGCAAGGGGACCCCTGCAGCAGGGGGAGACCCACTCTCTGCACCCTGATTTGCTCATCCAGGACACGATGGTAAACGCGTACTGGCTACAGAGTTGGGGTGAGCAGCCGACGAGGCAGCACTGGCCCCTAGCCTAAAACTCCCCGTCTGGAGGGCAGCGGACGCAGGAAGACTCCCGTGTTTCCTGGCCAGGGTTGCCACGAGCAGACCCCTCACTGTGCCAACCCACTCAGCAGTGGACCGAGAGGCCGCCCCGATGGGTCGTCGGGTTCCGCAGATGTCCTCCAGCCCCGCACAGGGAGCGGCCAGCTGCTTTTTCTTAAAGGAGCCAGGTAGCTGGGCCCCACGTGTCCTGGGTGCCTCTCTAGCCTGGGGGCATGTAGGTGTCCGCAGAGGGGAGAAGGTAGGTGCTCCGCCCCATGGGGCCTGGCGCACGTGGGCTTCAGGGCCTGTGCCGAGTTCTCGGAGGGCCCGGGGAGCCAGAGAGGCTGCCTGCTCTCTGGGGAGGGGTGCTGCACGTCTCGGGGGCCAAGTCCCCCTGACCCTGGCCTGCAGCCTCTGAGGGTCTCACCCTCCCTCCTGCGTGGGGGTCCCACCCCCGCAGGGCCCCCAGCACCGTGGGAGAACATCTGTTAAGGGGGCAGGACAGGGTCTCGGCAGAGGAGGCAGCTGTCCCGGGGCCGGCCACCCTGTGTTAGCTCCCGCCTGGTGCGCTGAGTGACCACAAACTCAGGGGCTCAAAATAACACATGGCCCTAGAGTTCTGCGGCTCAGAAGCCTGGTGGGCGTTACAGGCGAGCGCGTGGGGCTCGGGAGGGCCTAGCTGCTTCTGGAGGCTCCTGGAGGCCCTGCTGTTCACCTTTTCCGGTTTCTAAAGACCCTGTGCTCCCTGGCTTGTGGGCGTCCTCCTCCTTCCGGCCTAGCCCAGTGGCCTCTACTTTCTCCCTCACATCCTTGACTCTCTCACCCCCCTCCAGGACCCCTGTGATCACATTGGGGCCACCCAGTGATCCAGGATCATCCCCTCACCCCAGCCCTCACCTAATCCCCCTTGCAGAGTCTGTGTAAGGTTCTGTGTATTAGCACGTGACGGCTTGGGCAGCCCTGTGTGGACGTCTGTTAGGGCCCTGGAGTTTGAAAAGGGTCTGCACCTCTCAGCGGCGGGGGGGACATGAGCCCAGTCTGGGGCTAGGATCCCACCAGCCAAAGCCTGTAGGAGGGCCGCTGACCCCTGGCCTCTGCGGTGAGAGGGGCTCCGGCTGGCCTGGCGGCAGCGTGGCCAGGCTTTTGGGGCCGTGAACATGGGGGCCGGTGCGGCAGAGGGACAGCTCCAAGCCTGCCAAGTCTTACCCTTTGGAGAAGTGTTCAAAGCCCAGCATAGCTCCAGACACGTTCTCTGGCTCTTGCTTTGTGCCCATCGTCGTCTGGAAAGTTCAGTGACGGCCTTTTTTCCTGCAACTTGGAAGGTCTCCACCGTTCCTGGTGTCGACCCTGCCGTCCTGGGGAGGGCTTCCTGTCCGAGTCCAGGTCACCATCTGGGCCCACCCAGCACCCAGGACTCCTGGGTCTGCTCTTCTCCAGGACAGTGGGTCTGGGAGAGACACCCCATACCCCTCAAGGGCAGGCAGGACCCACTTTTGCGCCACCGTAACTGCCTCTGGCCAGGTAGGGACTGACCAGGCCTTCCACCCTCCTGAAGACAGAGCCCCCCCGGCAGAGCAGCCCCAGGGCGGGTAGGTGTGTGGAGTGGCCTGGCCCGGCCGCCTCCCCTGTGGGACTGGGTGTCCCCCACATGCACGCAGACTGTACACATAGAGAGAGGGACTCCAGGCTTGCAGTGCAGGTCAGTCCCTGGGGGGCTGTACCCCCACCCTGTGCCCCGGCCAGCCGCTGTATGTGCGGGGGTCTCCAGGGTGAGACCCCACACCCAGCCACCACAGTCAGTCATACAGGGGACCGTGCATCTCCTGGGACCCGGGCGTTTCTGCTGGGGGAACAGCCGTCCCTGGTGTGTCTGGTGCGTCCCCCCCGCCCCCTCCCCAGCGCCCCAGTGCCCCAGCCCGAGTGTCCTCTCTGCCCTCAGAGGAGCCCATTTACTGCTACACGCCGCACAACTTCACTCGCGACCAGGCGCTGTATGCTCGCGGCTACTGCTGGACGGAGCTGCGGGACGCACTGCCCGGCGTGGACGCCAGCCTGTGGCCGTCACTGTTTGAGCACAAGCTGCTGCCCTACTCGCTGCTGGCCTTCGCGGCCATCATGTATGTGCCGGCGCTGGGCTGGGAGTTCCTGGCCTCCACCCGCCTCACCTCCGAGCTCAACTTCCTGCTGCAGGAGATCGACAACTGCTACCACCGCGCCGCTGAGGGCCGTGCCCCCAAGATCGAAAAGCAGATCCAGTCCAAGGGGCCTGGCATCACGGAGCGCGAGCGGCGCGAGATCATCGAGAACGCCGAGAAGGAGAAGAGCCCCGAGCAGAACCTGTTCGAGAAGTACCTGGAGCGCCGCGGCCGCAGCAACTTTCTGGCCAAGCTGTACCTGGCGCGGCACCTGCTCATCCTGCTGCTCAGCGTGGCGCCCATCTCCTACCTGTGCACCTACTACGCCACGCAGAAGCAGAACGAGTTCACGTGCGCGCTGGGCGCGTCCCCCGACGGGCCGGCGGGCGGCGGCCCCGCGGTGCGCGTCAACTGCAAACTGCCGTCCGTGCAGCTGCAGCGCATCGTGGCGGGCGTGGACATCGTGCTGCTGTGCGCCATGAACCTCATCATCCTCGTCAACCTCATCCACCTGTTCATCTTCCGCAAGAGCAACTTCATCTTCGACAAGCTGCACAAGGTGGGCATCAAGACGCGCCGGCAGTGGCGCCGCTCCCAGTTCTGCGACATCAACATCCTGGCCATGTTCTGCAACGAGAACCGCGACCACATCAAGTCGCTCAACCGGCTGGACTTCATCACCAACGAGAGCGACCTCATGTACGACAACGTGGTGCGGCAGCTGCTGGCCGCGCTGGCCCAGTCCAACCACGACGCCACGCCCACCGTGCGCGACGCGGGGGTGCAGACGGCCGACCCCAGCGCCAACCCCGCCGAGCCCGACGGCGCCGCCGAGCCGCCCGTCGTCAAGCGGCCGCGCAGGAAGATGAAGTGGATCCCCACGGGCAACCCGCTGCCACAGCCCTTCAAGGAGCCGCTGGCCATCATGCGCGTGGACAACAGCAAGGCCGACAAGCCCAAGCCCGTGCGCCGCAAGACGGCCACGGACACGCTGATCGCGCCGCTGCTGGACGCGGGCGCGCGCGCCGCGCACCACTACAAGGGCGGCGGGGCCGACGCGGGGCCGGCGCCCGACAAGAAGCACGCGCGCCACTTCTCCCTGGACGTGCACCCCTACATCCTGGGCACCAAGAAGGCCAAGCCCGAGGCCGTGCCCGCCGCCGCCCTGCCCGCCTCCCGGAGCCAGGAAGGGGGTTTCCTGTCCCAGGCGGAGGAGTGCGCGCTGGGCTTGGCCGCAGCACCCACCAAAGGTAGGCGGCTGGGGACCCCCGGCCCCGGGGAAGGCAGCCCCCCGCCTCCCGCCTCCCCGCGCGGTTCTCTGCAGACCGGGCATCTGGGAACCGTGTGTGCGGGGCGGGGGGGTGGGGAGGGGGAGCAGCTGGGTGGAAGAGGGGGCTGGGCGGCCAGGGGGCCGGCCTTGGGGCAGAAGGCAGGCGTGAGGGGCCCTGCCCAGCAGACAGGAGGAGCGCTAGCAGGAGGGCCCGAGGGGACATGACAGGAGGTTGTTCAGGCTCTAGAGAAGGTTCTGGAAATAGGCCCTGCTGCTCCTGAGGCGGTGGGAGGTTTGGCCCACGCGGGTTGGAGCCTGCAGAGAGGGTCTTGGGGCAGCCCCATGTGGCTGAGGCAGGAGGAGGGAGAATCAAGCCCTCCCACAGCGCCTGGGGGGCCTGAGGCCGAGCGGGGTCCTCGGTGACCAGCCTCTGCCAGGCAGGGTCCGAGAGAGGGGGCAGGCACGGGGGGAAGAGGTGGGCAACCTGTAGGGTGTGACCTGCCCCTGTCCTCGGCCGTTTGCAGACACTCCGCTCCCTGAGAAGGAGATCCTGTACCCAGCAGAGCCAGCCCGGGCCACGCTTCCTTCCGGGGGCCCATTTCACGTCTGCTCGCCCCCAGCGGCCCCCACCACGGCCCCTCTGTCGCCAGCCAGTCTGGGCAAAGCCGACCCCCTCGCCATCCTGAGCCGCAACGCCACGCACCCGCTACTGCACATTGGCACGCTGTACGAAGCCCGGGAAGAGGAGGACGGGGGTCCCCGCGCTGCCCCGGACGTGGGCAGCCTCATTGCCATCCCCCCCCCGCAGCAGATCCTCATCGCCACGTTCGACGAGCCGAGGACGGTAGTGAGTACCGTGGAGTTCTGAGGAACGGGGCTGCCCGGGCCACCACCGTCCCCTCCGCGTGCCCAGGGAGCGCCGCTGACCCCAGCCCAACGTGGACGGGGCCTCTGCTTCACCCAGCACTGCCCGCCCCTCCTGGCCTCCTGTCCGCATGCCACAGGGCTGACACCTGGCCCACCCGGCCCCCAAGACAGCATCGCTGGCGTGCTGGATGGGCCGAGGGCTGGCCTTGAGCCGGGCGGAGCCCCCCCCCCCAACCAGCCAGAAAGGCCTGGAGCCGCCCCCCCCACCCCCAATCAGGCACTCGGTTGCGAGGTGAAGAGTTTATTTTTTTAGTCAATTCTGTCTTGGGCCCAGGCTGAAGCAGGACAGCTCTGGTCCTGAGTCTGAAAGGAAGCTGGGGGTGATCCCACCACCAGGCCTCGCTGTGCCCCAGGGGCCGTGCTCAGGGCTCGCTCCTGCACTGGGAGGTGCCGGGGCCCCCTCCATCAGACCGACATGCACTTTCTCCCTGTCTCCCGACCTGCCTGTACTCTGCTTTACTATGATCACTGTAACTACCGAGTGTGCGCGCTGCCAGGCACAGGGCGGTGTGCATGGGTGCGTGACCGAGAGGACGAGGACGCCAGCGTGCATGGATGTGTGTGTGAGTGGGCGTGAGCGTGGACGCACGGGGGTGTGATCGGGCACGGGGCTGAGGCGGTGTCGACACCTGCGTGCAAGGCAAGGAATCCAACGCAATAACCATGTCCCCCCACCCAGGCCACCAGCCCCCCAACCGAGGCCCCACGTGGCTTCCCGTGGGCACCCGGGGCTGGCGCGGAGGGTCTGTCCCTATTACCTCAGCCACGGTGACAACGTGACAGTATTAACAAGGTAGCACCGAGCAGATCAATAAATATTATTCTGATACAGCCTGAGTCCCGCGTGGTCCGTCCTGCGGGAGGCCGGTGCTCTGGCTGGTCTTCCTGCGTCTGGACGAGCTGCTTCCTGGTCACCTTGGGGGCCCTGCTGTACCCACCCTGAGGCAGGAGCACATGGCTGTCCCTTGCGGTTGACCTGCCATGACATCTGACTCCGAGGCTCTCATTCCGGGCCTATGGGGCAGATCAGGTGAGCCCTGCCCTCCCTGCACTCACACACTCAGCAGAGGCAAAGGCGGGAGCCCCCAGGAGACTGACCCCTCCATCAAATGTGTGGGGACAGGGGCCTGCTGGCTGCACTTAGGGGGACAGGGACACCAAGAACCCTTCCTGGAGGAGTTCCCTTTGATGTGGTTTGGGGGGGCCCCCTCTGCTCCACGGACCTGGGGCAGGAGGCCTTCCTCACTGGGCCCAGGACTTGGGTGGGATGAAGCTAGTCTTCCGGGTACACCGGGGACCACCTGGCCTTCGGTCCCCGGCTGGTGACCCCCAGAACCTGACATGCTCTCCTTGGAGCCAGGTAGCTAGGACAGCCAGGCCAGAGACCTGTGGACCCTAGAGCCAGGGAGGGCTGCCCTCCCGTTGTAGGGGGCCTGCTGAGACGGGCACGGGCCCATGGGCTGTACTACACAGGGAACCTGCCCAGCCTAGGCCCCGGAATCTCCGTGGTGCCCAGAACTGGGCAGGCCGACCTTCCCCGGAGCTGGGTCATTCTACAGGGACACAGACAAGGGACCGTATCCCTCCATGGGTTTTAAATGTGGTTTTATTATCACTCGGGGCTGCGGAGGCCTGCGACCAGGAGACAGCTGCCGTCGGGAAGCTAGCTCATCCCTCACAGCCCCAGGAGTGGGGGGCAGGCCGTGCCCGGGCTGGGGGCCCCTGGGGGAAGCACCAGGAGGCAGAGCGGGAGGGGACGAGGGCAGGAGCCTTTCCTGTGGTTTCCACGGGAAGGAACGGACAAGGCAGGGGAACAGGCCGAGGACTGGCTCGCATGAATACCGTCCGCGGGCTCCGGGCTCCCTGGTTGTGGGGCACCTGCCCTGGGGGTTGGGGCGGGTGAGGGAGGCCCCGAGGCCTCGAGCCCCACAGAGGGGTGAGCGGCCAGGGCCCCAGGTCGGCTGGTGGGCACATGGGAGTTTGTTGTTTTTAGGAATTAGCCCTGGGAGGGGCCAACCTTCCAGTGCCCACTTGGCCCAAGGTCAAAACAGAAAATAAAAAGGCGTCATTGGTACGCCCTGTCCCCAGAGAGCTCGCAGCCTCACCTGAGCCGGGACACCTCCTGGCAGCTCCCAGGCTGGGAAGTCCACTGCCCCTTGGGTCGGCCCTCACCATTTTCAGTGTCCAGGAAGGGACCCCACGTGCCCACGTGTGGCCTGTGGCCAGTTGTGCAAAGTGGGAGAAGCCCCTGGTCCCTCAGCAGCGCCCCCCGCCCACCTTGGTCCCACCCTGTCGGCGGGCTCCCTAACCCTCTGAGCAGAGTGGCTGTGCCCACCCAGGGCACTCCGGTCATGCTGGACTCGGGCAGCAGCTCATGCCACGGCCCCCCTGCCGCTACCTGGGTGGGGCTGGAGTCCGGCCCAGCCTCCCCAGCCGCCCAAGGCCACCCTCACCTCCCCACCCTGCCCATCCACTTGCAGAGCTCCGCTGGGCCCCACACAGGTCATTCCTGCCCCGGTACCCCATTGACAGCACTCACAGTGAGAGGGTCCCAGAGCCCAGCAGGGGCGTCGGCTGCCCGGGCCACACCTCACGCACCCTTCCTCCTGCCAGTGAGCACGGGACCTCGGGCTGAGCAATGTTCACGCACACAAGTCTGAGTCCGGTGAGCGCACGCCTGCCGCAGAGGCCCCCAGCGCAGCCCCCTCCGTGTCTCTGGGGAGACAGCTCTGCCAGGCTACCGGCCACCTGTGCCCTGGGCCAAGGCCCAGCAGGACACTGCAGAGCAACGCTCACCCCAGAGTTCTGTCCTTCGGAGCACGCGCAGTGCCCTCCTCCTGGGCCGAGCCCTGGTTCGCTGGGGAAGAGAAGCGCCCCAGTCATCATCCCGTAGCCGCCAAGCTCTCGCTGCAGGTGCCAAGGCTGCCGCCTTAGCCCGTGAGTGCGGGCCGCCCCATCGTCTCTGGTGTCGGGCTGAAGGCCCCCCACACCACCTCCCCTCTCCTCACCCCTTCCCTCTAGCCAGGGCCCTGTAGCGGCTGGGGGCAACTCTCCCGGTCCCAGAAAAGGAGAGGCTCCCACACAGGCAAGACTGGAACGCGGGCCTCTTCCTGCCTTGCCAGCGCCGTGTGGGCGTGGCCCCCAGACTCACTCCAGATCCACCGCGCGCCGCCTGGCAGACACCTGTGCTCTCCAGGGAAGGGAGCCTAAGGGTTGGGACGCAGAAACGACCTGAGCCGGCAGAGGGACAGAAAGGTAACTGGAGAGAAGGAGCGTGCACCAAGGAGGACAGAGGCCACCCTGAGGCCAGCTGGGCCCTTTCGGGACCGAGAAGCCGTAGGAGGGAGGTGGGCAGCGAGCCTGGCCCGGAAGCACCTGCCTGGAGGCCCCACACTCAGGCTCTTGCACAGAGCTCAGCGGGCAAACAGCCCAGCCTGCCAGCACCCAGCCTGCCAGCACCCAGCCTGCCAGCACCCAACCTGCCAGCACCCAGCCTGCCAGCAAGAGGGACTGCGGATCATCTCCCCCACCAGCCGGACCCCAGGACCACCACTGTCAAAGAACATGGGAACCTGGGAACCCTACAAGTCACCAAGCCCTCTCATCCTGGAAACCGAGGGGCAGCCCAGTGCCCAGCTCTAGTGCTGGCGGATGGTCCCAGCAGGGTCAGGCCAGTCCAGACCCGCAGAGGAGGGGAGGGGCTGGACTGGCCTAACCCCTCACTCCCAGGTAGCTCCAGACTGAGGGGCTGCAGCCTGCTCCAGGCAGTCCCTGCAGCAGCCCCCATCCAGCCTGGCTTGTCCTATGGCCGGAGGTGGTCACAGGCGTCAGTGGAACTGGCTGGGGGCAGGGGACAGTTGGGGGTCTGCTTCGCCAGCAGGCAAGCCATCAGCACCCCCCCAGCCGCAGGGTGCCCAGCCCCACAGCCACCCTTTGAGGACGGAGGAGGGCCCCGGCGAGGGCAGCAGCGCCCTGGCCCCCTCCAGGGCCCCGGCCGTGGGGGCACTGCACTGGGGAGGAGAGGGAGGCGGCCTCGGGACACCCCACTGGGGGTGGTCGTGGGCACTGGGAGTCCCCCTCCCACGCCCCGCCGCCCTCTTGGCCAAATGGGGACGACGAGGGGCGGTTGGGACCCCTCCGCTGGCAGCGGGCCGGTGGCTGCAGGCTCGGGCCGGTGGCTGCAGGCTCGCCGGAGTCCGCCAGTCCCGAGACTAGCCCCCGAGCACCCCTCCGGGGTTTGGGGTCCAGGTCTCAGCCTGGTCGGCAGCAGGACCACTGGGGCCTGCCTCCCAGGGGACTGCACCTACCAAGTTGAGGAATGGCCGGGGCGCCGGCGCGCGGGAGTCTCGACACCCCCGACCCAGGTGGAGTCACGTGGGCGCCCTCCGCACCCCATCCCACTACGGACTGCCCCTTTCGTGGGCGATTGACACAAAGCGTCTCCGTGGACGTCGTGCGAACACCTTCCCTTTTGCAGACTGGGAGCGGCGCTCAGAGAATTTAAGAGTGCTCTGCAAGGCTGCCGGGCTGCCACGCAGGGCCGGGGACTCGAACTCACGGCTCCACGGTCGCCTCCTTCCTCCTAAAGCCGGCGGCGCCGGGGGGGGGGGGGGGGGGGGGGGGGGGGGGGGGGGGGGGCTTTCTCGCGCGCGGCCCCCTGGGAAGTGTAGTCCGCGGGCGCTCGCGCATGGCCCCTGGGAAGTGTAGTCCGCGGGCGCTCGCGCGCGGACCTCTGGGAAGTGTAGTCCGGAGGCGCAGACAGAGCGCGCCTACGGAGCCGACGGGCGGCGCGTGGAACTGCGCTTCCCAGCATGCCGCGCGCCGCCCGCCCCCGGCCCCTGCCCGTCCGGCCGCACCCGCCCCCGGTCCCGGCCCCGGTCCGCCCCGTCCGGTGGGGCGACTGGCCGCATGGAGGCCGGCTGAGGAGCGCCGCCCCGCCTCGGTACGCTGCGCGGCGCGGGCCCCGGCTGGCGGGCAGGGGTCTGGGTCGGGTCGCGGCCGGGGTCGCGGGCCACCTCGCTCTGGGCCAGGTCCAGTCAGCCCCCAGCGCGGGGTCTGCGGCTGGAAGAGTCCGCCCAGGCCTGTCCCGAGGGCGCGCGGGGCAGGGCCGGCGGCCGGCGCTGCTGGGGACAGGGCGCGGGGAGATGGCTGGCGGGCTCCGCTGGGGCTGGCCGGGGGCCGCGGCCTCTCCCCCCGGAGACCCCGGGCGCTTCCCGAGCGCCGGCGGCCTCTGCCCTTCAGGCTGGGCGAGCGGGGCTGCGTCCGGCGGAGTGCGGCGGGCTGTCCCGCGGCGCGCGCGGCCGAACTTCGGGGCCTGCGACAGCCGCACTTTGTTTCCACGCAGCCGCGCGCGGAGGTGGAACTTCTGTGCCGCCAAGTGCCGCGCGGGCGCGTCCGCGGAAACTCTCCGGGGCGAGGCTGCCGGGACGTGGGCGTCTCGGGAGCCGCCAGGGGCTCCGCTCGGAGGTCCTGGCGCCTCACGAGCGGGTTGGGTGGTTTCCAGGCGGAATCCCGCCGGCTTGGGGTGCCCTGGAGAGGGAGGTGTGCGGCCGCCAGGCGCCCCGCCCCCCGGGGCAGGCTCCGCGCTCTCTGGGTCTTCGGCCCCTTTTGCCCCTGCTCAGCCCTTCGCAGTGCGGCTGGAGGGGATCCTTGACCGGGGACCACGGGTCAGTCTCGCAGAATGGCCCTCGTGCCGTGGTGTCTGAGGCTGCCAGGAGAGGGCCTGGCAGGGTGAGTGGGCAGACCCCTACACAGCGCCCTGCGATGGTGGTCAGTGCGGGGGCCCAGCCCTGGGCAGTGGCCAGGCTCCAGGAGAGTCAGCCGGGTGTGCTGGTAAAGGAGCCGTTCAGGCCTCCAGCGCAGATACAAGCTGGCATATGTCCTCTATCCCAATCCCAAACTCTGCCTCCATAAAGCGGGTGCTGCTGGACCCAGGAGGCTCTCCGGTGGCCAGGGGTGCCCCGACTTAAGAAGTGGGGGCAGAGGGGAGGTCGGGGCTTTGGCCACATCCTGCTGTCTCCCAGCGGCACATTTATTTCTGCAGCCCACCGGTCTCTCCGGTTTGGGACCTTTGACTTTCTGAGCAAGCCTAGTGGGTTGATGGGGAGATACAGGCTTTTCCGGGGGCCCCATTTGGTGCTGGTCAGGTCTTGGACACACCGAGAAGGAGTCTGGGATCTGGGAGGCAGTGTGTGGCCTTCCAGTTTTTAGAGGGGCAAGGGGGGCAGAGAAGGGTGTCTCAGCTTGCCATAACAAACCCCAAAGGTGGGGCTTAAATAGCGGACTCTTTGACAGCTCTGGAGGCCGGGAGGCCGGGGTGGAGGTGCTGGGCTTGGTTGCTGGTGAGGACGTTTTCTTCCTGGCTTGCGGATGGCTGTCTTCTCGCTCGCTGTGTTCTCACACGGCCAGATCTCATAAGGGCCCTAATATCATCATGGGGCCCCATCTCTAAACGCCATCACCTGGGGATTAGGGCTTCAGTATGTGAATGTTGGGGGGCGCAGTTCAGTGCATAGCAGTGGAACCCAGGAGAGGGTCCGCGAGCTGCCTGGGGCCGGCAGGAGCCTGCCGTCTGCCACGCCACCGAACCATCTGGTACACTGACATGGACGCCCGGCAAAACTTTCAGATGCTAATAATGTCATCCCGTGCGGAACAACTTAACATGCTACTCTGGTTGGTGTCACAGGGCTGTGCCCCCCGGTGGGTCCCTAGTGTGTGGGGGGCTCTTCCTGTAGGTCCCTTTCCTGGAGTACTGGACAAGGTGGGGCCTCCTAGGGCTTTTGGGAACTCCCACCACTTTGGAGTTTGTTTTCCTGGAAGCTTGTGGTGATTCTGCTGCTGTCATCTGTGCGCAGGATTACGATTTCCAGAGCCAGATCACGGTGTGTCCCTCTACAGATGAGGAGACAGCCTAGGAGGACTCGTGTTCCGTTGTCCCCTGAAACCAGACTGCTGGTTCTTTTACTGCCCCGTGAGGTTTGCTCCTCCCCACCCAGGAGGAAGCCTGCAGAGGTCTACGGTCAGGAGCTGAAGTGAAATCTGCGTCGTGGCATGGGTCTTTAGCTGGGAGCAGACAGATGGGGCGGCTGGGTGACGGCTCTGACCACCTCCATCCTCGAGGCGGGAGCTCAGTCCTAGCAGGCTGGAGGGCCCTCACTGGGGCCAGGCCGCACCCAGTGGCTGGCCTGAGATCTGGCCAAACGCAGGCCGTCCCCTGCAGCACGGTTGGGGCATCCGGCCACCGGACATGTCCGTGGCAGCGCTGCTTGGCAGTGGCGGCTGGTCGGGGGCCGTGAGTAGCCGCCGGATCCGGCAGAAGGCGCTTCCCGCTTTGTGCCAGGTTCCGTGGTGGCTGGGCCATGGCCCAGGAGCAGGGCTACCCGCTGGGGTCTGGATTTAGAAGGGGGCACAGGTGTCTCCCCTCAAGGGTGTCACCGGGGCATGCATTGGTGGGACTGGGGGGACCTGTGGATCCAGAGAGTGTGGCAGGAAGCCAGGAGGGTTGTGGACGCTCCCTGCAGCCCCTGGCGGGTGCCGGGCAATGGGGGCTGGACTCAGGGCTGGGGGTGGGGGTCTTGCTTCCCTCCTCGCAGCTGGGGAGGGCTCAGGCCCAGCCAAAGTCTTTAACTTGTGTGTTTGGGAGTGGAGGGGACGTTGACAGCCCCTGAAATGACACCCTGCGAGGGTGTTGCTGGGGACCCTGCCTCTGAAGTCGAGAGAAACCAGAGAATTGGGAAGTGTGTGGTGCGGCCATCGGGGACAGAGGCTTCTCAGATGGGACTCTTGGTGCTGAGGGGGCCCCGGTGGCCTTCCTGCCTGAGCAGTTCCGGCTCCCAGTGCTGGGTCGCAGCTGCCGCGAGGGGAACAGCTCGAAGGGACCCGCGTGTTGGCACTGTGGTGCACGGGTCAGCCGTCCCGGGCTCAAGGCTGGGCTTTAGGCCCGACGGGCTTGTCCGCCACCCGCACCCCCGGCCCTCAGGATGCGGGACCCACGCCCAGAAAGGCCTGTCCGCTGCCGGCCAGGGGCCTCCTCCTGAGCTTCAGAGGGCGGGGCCGCCGGAGGCGGGTGAGGCGGTGCCCCAGACCTCCCCCCACCGCACCCGCCAGAGGGACAGCGACGTGGTGGCCTCCCATTTGCTGGCCGTTCCGGGAGCCTCCCTGCAGCGCACGGGATGTTTTCTTAAGTTTCCTGGGCCCTTGGGCAGCCTTGTGCCGCTTGGAAGTAGGAACTGTTTGCTCTGTTGCGTAAGCCGGACTGAGGGCCTTTCTGGGCCGGCTGGGGAGCCTGAGCAGGGGCAGGCCCAGCGCCGCTCGGCCCCGCCCTCCGCCTTGGCCCGCCGCCCGTTCGCCCTCCCGCGGGCGCCTTGCCGGGCGGGCGGAGAGCTCTGATCTGTAAAGTGGGAAGAGGGGGCTTTGGGGGTCCTGGACAGGAGGTGCTCAGGGAAGAGTGCGCGGAGTGGGCCCCCCCCCCAGCCGCCCTTCTCTGCTGACCTGCCTCCCGCGGGGCCCCGCTGCTTCCTCTGGCCCTAAGCCAGGTCCTCTCTCTGACCCTTGCTGTGACTGTATTTCTTGCAAGAACCTGGCCATCCTTAGGTCGGGTCCAGGGCCTGTCCCGGTGTCCCTGGACACCAGATCAGGGGTTTGGTCAAATCGGAGGGAGCCCCGTCCTGTCACTGAGCTGCATGCGCAGGTGGCAGGTCCCTCCCGCTGCGGAGGAGGAAAGGGCCGGATGGGGAGCTGCGAGATGCTGGCGGTGGCGGCCGCGGAACAGGGCCCTGTCTGTGCTCCCCACAGCCGTGTGATGACAGCGTGGGGCGGGGGAGGACCTGACGCAGGTCCTTACTTTGCCACGTGCCCTTCCTTCCTCTCATGAAATGGCGAGAGGCAGGGCAGGGCAGTGGGAGCACCGCACAGCCCCCCAGGTCTGCGGCGCTCTGCGGGTGCGCGTCCCAGGACCCCGGTCCTTCCGTCCACTAGTGCACGTGTGGCGGAGGCTGACTCTGGAGCCAAACACGACAGCACGCCAGGCTTTCGGCAAGTTGGAGTGGCTTCTTGACCAGACAGGCGGCAGTCACACGCGCCACCCTTCCCCAGGGGCGCCTCCCTGAGCTGTGCCGGCCACCTCTGCACTCAGACCCGGCCTTGAGCTTGCCCGCAGCATCTCGGGGAAGCGGGGCTGAAGTCTGCGTTGCCGGTGTGGCCGTCTCCCAGGGTGGCCAGAACCCCATGGCCTGACACAGGCCTCAGGCCCCTGATCCCCTTGGCCCTGGAGGTCTGGGTGGACCATCGTCTGTGGCAGTTCTGTGTCCTTGGTGACACGGAAGACCCCCAGGTCACTGGCCAGGGCAGTCCCGGCGTCTCTGTCCCTGTGCTCAGCCAGCGGGACCCCGGACCTGCACAGCTGGAGGGAGACAGGTGTCAAAATGTCTGGGAGGGCAGAGGCTGCGATCCCACCTACAGTTCTTTCAAAACAGACTGAGCCCTGTGTGCAGCCCTGGGGTTCCAGGTGCGAACGTGCTTCCTCTGTCTCCTCAGGCTTCGCTCGTCGGTGCAGGAGCCACTCCCCAGCCATGGAGGGGGAGGAGAAGCAGCCATCCCAGGAGGTCAGAGGCCTGGACCAGACGCGGTGGCGGGGGTAGGGGGGGTTCCTGTACAACCTCGGGCTCAGGGTCCAGCCAGCTGCTCGACGGAGTGTGGGTGCCCCCTCAGCGTGGCAGCCTGGGATCACTGGCTGCTTCTGTGCGTGTGGTTTCCCGGGGTGTTTCTGGGTCAGCCAAGGGGGAGCTCGGGCCAGGGAGCCTGGGGCGGGCTGCGTACAAGGCGGTTGTCACAGAGAGGTGTGAATGCTGGGGCGTGCGCAGCTCACGGAGCAACGGCACAAGTCCTTGGTGGGCCCCTGGGGACACGTGGTGCCCTGAGCCCAGGCCCCCAGGAGGGTGGGCACCCTGACTGAAACGTTCCCCTTCCCTCTGCAGGCTGACACGGAACCTGTTGTGACAGTGGGGGCTTCAGAGGTGGTGCCCAGGGTGCTTTCTGGAGAATCCCAGAACCTGTGTGCGTGCTCCCTGAGATCATTCCGGGCTAGGGGGCGGGGCAGCTCCCTGGCCAGAAGGGGCTCGGACCTGGGTGACCTGAGTCTGGCGGATAGTGGCCTGGGCCAGCCCCAGGCTGGGGGTCTCTGAGGGGCTCTGGAGCACAGGCAGGGGCTTTGGAGCCCCATCAGGAGCCCCTTCACTGGGGTGGGGGGCTCAGTGCTTCGAGATGCCGTGGACGCTTGGACGGCTGGGGCTCCCCCTCGGGGACGCGTGCCCCTGTGCGTATCTGGGCTCCGCGCGTGGCTCAGCCCTGAGAACGGGGTGCTCTGGCTGCCAGTGTGCCGCACCCCACCTGACGCGCCGTCCTTGCAGCCGACGCGGACGCGCTGACCCTCCTCCTGGAGATGAAGCTGAGGCGGCGGCGAGAGCGGCCCAGCCTGCCGCGCACGGTGACCGAGCTGGTGGCCGAGGACGGGAGCAGGGTGTACGTGGTGGGCACGGCCCACTTCAGTGACGACAGCAAGAAGGACGTGGTGAAGGTGAGGCCCGGCACGCGGGGCTGGCCTCGGCCGAGCAGCCCTGTCCCGTGAGCCGCCGCCACCTCCTGCGTGACGCCCGCGCCCCCAGAAAGGGGCTTTCGGATACCGCAGAGCCCTCGTGGCCTCGTGCACTTTTCTGTTCAGCAGCGAGCAGACCTGTTGTGTCGCTTTCCTCGGTCATTTAAAGAAATGTGTCGTCAGCGCGGCAGCCGAGGTGGCCTATGCCTGCGGGGACAGGGTCGGGGTCCGTGCTGGGCCCGGGGCACCAGGCTGAGCTGGCTCGTCCCTTGCAGACCATCCGGGAAGTGCAGCCTGACGTGGTGGTCGTGGAGCTCTGCCAGTACCGCGTGTCCATGCTGAAGATGGACGAGAGCGCGCTGCTCCAGGAGGCCAGGGACATCAGTCTGGAGAAGCTACAGCAGGCCGTGAGGCAGGTGCGGCGTCAGGGCCCGGGCTGGGTGCCCCCCCAGGCAGCTGCTCCTCCCGCCTGTGAGCACAAGGCCGTCCAGTCCGTGCAGAGGCGCCCAGGGGACTTGGCCTGGGGCGGGAGAGGGGCGCGCCTGTGTTGGGTTTCAGACTAGGGAGGTGGGGCGGGGGAGCTTCAGCCCCCTGGGGAAGAGCCGGACGGGAAACCCCGGGAGCTCGGCAAAGGGGAGGGCTTGGTCTCAGGGTGCTGGCTGGCCTTCCCCCACCCCTGTACATCTCCCACAGGGACATGGGCCCCCCGGGGGGACACGGACAGAGGAGTTGGGGTCTGGGCTGGAGGGGCAGGAGGGAAGGGGCATCCGCTGTGGATGCGGCACCTGTCCACAGCCCTCGCTCAGCCCCGGAGCGTAGGTGGGGCCTCCCCTCGCTGCTGGGGAAACCTGTGCTCTGTGCCCACGTGGCCACTGACCACCGGCCCCTCCCCTGCAGAACGGGGTCATGTCCGGACTCATGCAGATGCTGCTGCTGAAAGTGTCGGCCCACATCACTGAGCAGCTGGGCATGGCTCCCGGTGGCGAGTTCAGGGAGGCCTTCAAGGAGGTGGGCCTGGGTCCAGCCGGGAGGAGGGGTGCCCAGGAGCTGCCCGGGGCTCAGGTGCCCGCAGCCAACACCCGGCTCCGCCCAGGCCAGCAAGGTGCCCTTCTGCAAGTTCCACCTGGGCGACCGGCCCATCCCCGTCACCTTCAAGAGGGCCATCGCGGCGTTGTCCTTCTGGCAGAAGGTGAAGCTGGCCTGGGGCCTGTGCTTCCTGTCAGACCCCATCAGGTAGGGCCCCTCGGCCTCCCGCGGGCAGCCCCACCCAGGAAGAGCGGCCCGGCCCCCTCGGTCAGGAGCTAAAGCCTCCGCAAACAGGGCCTTCCCACCCTTCCTTCCACCGTGAGCCCGAACACAAAGGGCGCGGAGGTCCCTGCCCTGGGTCAACAGCGCCGGCCGGCCTCCTGCCGGCTGCCGCGTCCACACGAGGCTGGCAGCGCGCCCTCTGCCCCCAGCAAGGACGACGTGGAGCGCTGTAAGCAGAAGGACCTGCTGGAGCAGATGATGGCGGAGATGATCGGCGAGTTCCCCGACCTGCACCGCACCATCGTCTCGGAGCGCGACGTCTACCTGACGTACATGCTGCGGCAGGCGGCCCGGCGCCTCGAGCTGCCGCGCTCCTCCGACGGTGACCGCCGCGGCGGCCGGGCGGGGGCGCTGTGGCCCGGTGGCCGCCGGGCGGGGCTGACGCGTCCCTTCCCCCACAGCGGAGCCCAGGAAGTGCGTCCCGTCCGTGGTGGTGGGCGTCGTGGGCATGGGCCACGTCCCGGGCATCGAGAAGAACTGGACCACGGACCTCAACATCCAGGAGATCATGACGTGAGTAATGCCCGCGAGCGCAGAGCAGCCGGCTGGGGGCGGCGGCCAGGCCGGGGGAACGTGTGCACGCCCCCCACCCCCGAGCCAGGCCCAGCCCGCCCTCCCTTCCCCAGCGTCCCCCCGCCGTCCATCTCCGGCAGAGTGTCCCGGCTGGCCGTGAAGGCCGCCTTCGTGGGCCTGCTGGGCTACGGCCTCTACTGGATGGGACGCCGCGCCACCGGCCTGGTCCTGTCGCTGCCTGTCACTCAGTACTGCCTGCAGAGGGTGTCCTCGGCCCGACCGCACAAATAGGGAGGACCAGCACGGCGGGGGACCATCCCCCCGTGCCCACCCGCAGGAGCTCTGGGTGCCACCCCCCGTGGGGGTCCAGGCCCAGCCACCCCTGCCCTCCCCCAACCCGCCCAAATAAAGAATTATTTAACTGCTCTGAGCTCAGGCTTCCCAGCAGCCCCTCCCCCACCCCATCCCTGGCCCCTGCAGGGCCCCCTCACCGGCGTTCCGGGGCGTCAGGACCAGCTGGCGGGGGAGGGGCCGAGTTGGGCACAGCCAGTCCTCCCCTACCTCACTGTGCCTTCTCGCGGGCTGCAGCAGGAGCCCCGGCCCAGGCACACCCGGCGGAGGGGTCTGGGCCGCAGGCTCCCGGCCGGCGTGTCTGGGAAGGGCCGGAGCCGCTCCATGGTGGTTCCTGGGAGCGTCCCTCCCGGCAGGGCAGCCGGGCTGAGCTTGGTCCCACGGACATGCACCGTGGCCTGTGGAGATTGTGTTTTTGGCTGTTAAAAATGTCTGAAGTTTTTTTTACTCAGGTAATTTTAACTTAAAATGAACTGAAGCAAATGTCAGGAAATAACAAGCCTTAAATCTGATTGGGACGAAGAGGATGTCTTGGTGGGGGGGATGGGGGGACTCAGTCCTAAGCAGATGAGCCTGGGGGAAGGGTCGGCTTCAGCTGCGGAGCTGGGCCGGCCTCTGGACACTGACCCCCACCCCCCGCCGCCCCCTCAGTCAACCCCTAGCTGGGGGGCATCCAGGGCTGCGGCCCCCGGGCCTGAGTGTCCCCCTCCCCAGGCACGGAGGACCACACCCGCTTCTCACGCTGCACCCTCAGTGGGCAGAGGGTGCGTGTCCCCCAGAGCCCAGCAGCTGGCGCACGTGCTGGCAGATGCCCGCCACCATTCTGTGGCCCCTCACGGGGCACGCAGCCCGGGCATCTCCTGTGTGTGTCGTCGCCGCTCCTGGTCACGCGTCTGTGACGCATCTGTGTGGCCCGCCTGGGGCCCGGGGTCCTGCTCCATTGTGTTTGCGTTGACTCAGTGTCTCACAAAATCAGGTGAAACCCGCGGCTGTGAGCCGGGCTGGACCGTGCTCTTCCTGTCACGTACGTGCGTGTACACGTTACCTAGAAACTGAAATAAAGTCTAATTTTGGAAGCTCCTGTTTGGTGGAATGTGTGGAAACGGGACTCAAGGGGCAGGGGAGGAGGTGGCCCGGGCCGCTGGCACTGCCTTGGGGCCTGGAGGACTTCCGGCCACTGCCTGCCTCTCAGCAGAAGATCCTGCTCCCAGGCCCAGTGAGGACACCCGCCAAGGGGAAGTGTGCTCAGAGGGGCAGCCCAGCCCTCGCCTCCCTGTCCACACCCTCGGGCTCCCCACCCCTGGGAGGAGAGGAGGCGGGGCAGCCCCTCGCCCGCACAAAAGGTGCTGGGGACCCGGGGCTCAGATCTGCCCAGAAAGAACAGTGAGCACCACGGGGCGTGCGGGGAGGGGAGGCTGGTTAGGCCGTGGGCTGGGCTCCCCACCCACCATGTCTGCACCCCCAGGAAGCATGGCCGCCTGCCCCGTGCTGGGTCTCGCTGCTCTCCTCTGCCTCTCTGCGCCCCAGGCCAACTCCGTGGTGCAGTATCGACAGCCGGTAAGGGTGGCCGTCGGGCCAGTGGCTCTCGTGAGCCTGAGATGGGCTGGGCCTCCCAGAACTACTGAGCCTGCCTCTCACCAGGGTCCTCTCTCCACAGGTGCACATGGTGCTTCTGGAACCCCAAGGTCTGGCTGCGTGGGGTGGCGGAGGGAGGGGCTGGCCGGGTGGGTCCGGGACAGGCAGCCTCTCACCTATCACCCACAGGTCCCCAGCCAGCAGGTCTCACTCCCCTTGAGGACCCAGCTGGGTCCCTGCCCAGAACAGCCTGAGGGGAGGGCAGGCAAGGACCAGGCCCCACTGTTATTCCCTCCTAATGCGGGCTGGGCTGGGGGTAGCGCTCGGACCGCTGCCAGGCCAGGAGGAGGAAGGTGGGGAAGCCAAGACTGACCTTGCGAGGGCAACAGGTGAGGGCGTGTCCGGGGCGGCGGGAAGAATGGAGGGTCTGGCCAAGGGCTGGGGGCCGGCCAGTTTCCAAAGAGGCCTGAGACGGGTATGGCCCAAGGTGAGGGGACTGTGGCTGCCCACCTGCCAGGACCAAGGTTGTAAATCGTCTGGCAGACTGTCACAGGGTGTCTGCAGGAGGACAGTTCTGGTTCCAGGCACCGAAGAGCGTGGCCCCTTCGCAGGCCCTGAGCCTTCCCGGCCCCATCTCCTGCAGGGAGGGACTGCTCTCACATCTGGGCGGAGAGACCCCGCGCCCCGAGCGGTGTGTACACCGTCCAGCCAGAAGGAGCCAGCGCCCCCTTCAAGGTGAGCACCCCACAGCGAGGGCCCAGGGGGTGTTGTGTGTGTCACCCGGACAAAAACGAGGTGGCACTGTCCACCTAGCCGGGCAAGGGCCAGCCAGGCCAGGCGCCGCTGGTGGAGTCCGTCCTCAGACACCCGGACACAGAGATGTTCACGGACGTCGTGTGACAGGAAAGGCTGGGAGAAACCTAGGCTTCCACCTTGAGGGGTCTGAACAAAGAAAGGGCCCAGGAGACAACGCTGAGTGAAAAAACAAAGACACAGAGCAGGGCGCAAAGTGATGTCGAACTGGGCAGGCTTCCTGGGGCCCAGGCCCTTACTGCCAAGCTTCACCCCCTTTCTGAGAAAGCGAATTTAATGTGATACAAGTTTACCTGATACTGACAAGTAGAAAACCAACGTTTCAGTTTTCAAATACAGTGTTTAAGGGAGGATGGACAGGAGAGGGGCAGTGCCTGCCACGGGCCGGCCCTTTTCCCAGGTTCTCTGTGACATGCGCCCGGACGGTGGCTGGACAGTGATTCAGAGGCGAGACCAGGGCCGGGGGACGCCTCTGGACTTCGAGAGGTGCTGGCAGGAGTACAAACAGGGCTTCGGAGACCTGAGAGGTAGGACTGTGCTGCCCAGGGACCCAGGGGTGTAGCCCTCCAGGCCTTGATCCCCACTGGGGACACAGGGCAGAGATGGTAGGAGGAGGCCGGGGTGGCCCGTCACACAGCAGCCTCTGCCTCTGCAGGTGACCACTGGCTGGGGCTGGAACACATCTCTAGCCTGACCTCCCAGCCGGGCCTGCGCTCCGAGCTGAGCGTGGACCTCCTGGACGCGGACAACCATACGCTGCAGGCCCACTACGATGACTTCCGCGTGGGCAGGGAGGAACGGTTTTACCCGCTGACCCTCGGCCAGTACTCGGGGAATGCCGGTGAGTGCTTGGGAGGTAAGGGACCCTTGTGCCTGCTTTGCCCCCTGGGCTTTGTAGCCTGTGGGGAGGGGGACTCTTGCAGCAGGCCAGAGTAAGTAGGGCCCCTGGAGCCCCCCATTTTCCAGCTAACATCTGCCAGCCTCTGTGCTCTGGGAAAGACGGCTGCTTCCCAAGCACCTGCCCTGGGGTCCCAGATGGCCAGACAGCGAGTCGGGGGGCCTTGGGGGCAGTTGGCCCGCCACCCACACTACCACAACGCTGCAGGGGACGCGTTCCGGGGCTTGGGCCACACGGACAACCAGGAGGGCTGTGGCTTCAGCACGCTGGACCGTGACCATGACCGCTGCTCGCCTTGCGTGGATGGCGCCCAGACCTTCACCAGCTGCAGCCACGATCGCTCGGGCGCTGGATGGTGGTACAGCGACTGCGGCCGTGCTGACCTCAACGGGCTGTGGCCAGAGCAGGCAGGGGCCGCCTCGGGCATGCGCTGGGCTGCTGGTGACCACCAGCCCGCCCTGCGCGCCAGCGTGCTGCGCGTGCACACCACTGCTTCCGGCAAGGTCTAGGCCTCCCGCCAGTCCATGGCCGAGCCTCATTAAATGTTCAAGCCTGGCTGTCCTTGGGGTCTTCCTTGGGGTCGGGAGTGGGGAGGGGCCGAGCTCTGCTCTGGCCCAGCCTGGCTGCTCAGACCCTGCTCACCCGGGATGTTTGTCCATCCAGGACAGGCCTAGGGAAATCCAGGAGGCCGTGCAGCCCGACATTTAGGCCAGAAGCCAGGTTACCACATCTGAGAAGGCACTACCTCTTGGTGCTGGTTCCTCCTGGAACCCTTGGCACCCACCAGAGCCACCACTGGCTATGACCTCTGTGAGGGCAGCCAGCAGGACACAGAACCTGGTACTCTTGAGCCTTCAAGAACCCGATCCCACCAGATTCCAAGGTGTGGGTAAGACAGTGGGGTGAGGGGGCACGGAGATGTGTTAGAAGGGCCTGGGACCTGGGGAAGTTGGGGGTGGGCAGTGACAGTAGGCTCAGGCCAGGTCCCCTAGGCAGTTAGGAAGAAGGCTGGGAACAGGGTTCTCTGCCAACAGACCAAGTGAAGGCCCCGGTGAGGCTCAGTGGGGAGGCAAAGTCAGGCTGCAGGAGGAGACCCTGGGGCTCTGAGCACCTGCTGGGACCTAACCTACCACAGAGAAGGTAGTGTCCTTGACCATCTCAGGGATGATGACTCTGAGCTGGAGAGGGGCTGAGGGGTTCCCCAATGTCACAGCTGGCAGGGCCAAAGATGGTTCACATGAGCTCTGGGAGGCCCACATTTTGGCCCCAGGAGAAAGTTCCACAGGCGGCTCCTGGAACTCGAGGGTAGAATCCAGCCAGGAGGGAGCTCGTGCATTTGTCCAGGGTCCCCTGCTAGCTCCTGGTCTTGGGTTTTAGTATGGGGCCAGGTGGGGGAGGGGGGGGGTGGGAAGCCTTTCCAAGGACCTCCATCCCGCGTTCTTTTCCAGCCTGAGCATCTGAGGTCTTTATTCTGCAACAGGCCTCCTGGCTTCTCTGGGGCAGACGCTTGGAGGCCAGACTTGGCTCTCCCCAGTCTCCCGGACAGTATGTGGGGAGCTTCTCTCGGCCAGGCGCTGTTCTGGAAGAACTGGCCCCAGATCACGCAGACTGCGTGCCCTCCTGGAGCCCGGCGAGGAGACAGGCACGGAAGAAACCGGCAAACGAGGGCGTGAGCTCGTGTCCGGGGTGCTCCGAGGGAAAAGCAAGGTTCCCGCGGGCACTTCGGGAGGCACGCGGGGCCGCACGGAAGCCAGGACGCAATAGCAGTCCTGCTCCGGGCAGAGGCAGAGCAGGGGCAAAGGGGCTCACACACCGGGGAGGAGCCCGGCCTGGCCCGAGCGCTGCCCAGTCTCAGGCTTGGCTTCGCCCTGGGGCTCTTCGCGGCCTGTCCCCAGGGACACGGGCCCTCCACCCGAGCTGAGACCCCTCCTTCCCTTCTGCCTCGCTGCCCGGCGCAGCCGAGGACAATCCGGAGACAGGCCCTGACACAGCACGGGGCCAGAGCTGACCCTGCCCGCCCCCCCGGGGTCGAGAGGCACCCCTGGTGGTCGACCGGGAACGTCCCTCAACACGGTCACCCCGCTCGGAGCTCGGAGCCCCGACTGTGCGGCCTTTTCCGGGCCGGACCTACAGGGACCTGCTGGCTCGTCACGCAGGCCCGGTCCCCCCGCTCCCCGATCGGCTCCAACACTGGGCCGCAGTCCCGCAGAAGCGAACGGGTCGCAGGCGGCCAAGTCCTCCTCCCGCCCCCCACCCCGCCGCTGCGAGCTGACAGACGCACGCCGCAACCAGTCAGAGTCAGGCTTTCGCGGGCGCGGCCCGCGCAGGCGCACCAGCGGACACCACCGCCGGCGATTGGGTGACCAGGCACGCCCCCCGGGCTTCCGGTCGGGGCAAAAGGGCTTCCGCCGCAGCCGCGCCGCGGATGGCAGCGCTCGGGGCCGCGCTGAGGGCCTCGCTCGCGGCCGCCCGTACCCGGTCGGCGCCGCTGGGCCACCGCCCGCCGCACGCGCCCTGCTCCGCGTCTGCCACTGCCCGCGGCGCTGCCATGGAGCCGGCGCCCCGCTGGCTGGCGGGGCTGCGCTTCGACAACCGCGCCCTGCGCGCGCTGCCCGTGGAGACGCCGCCGGCCGGGCCCGAGGGCGCCCCGTCCTCGCCGCGGCCGGTGCCCGGGGCCTGCTTCAGCCGCGTGCGGCCCGCGCCGCTGCGCCAGCCGCGCCTCGTGGCGTTGTCGGAGCCCGCGCTGGCGCTGCTGGGCCTGGGCGCGCCGCCCGCCGACGCCGCCGCCCGCGAGGCGCGCGAGGCCGAGGCCGCGCTCTTCTTCAGCGGCAACGCGCTGCTGCCGGGCGCCGAGCCCGCCGCGCACTGCTACTGCGGCCACCAGTTCGGCCAGTTCGCGGGGCAGCTGGGCGACGGCGCCGCCATGTACCTGGGCGAGGTGTGCACGGCCGCGGGCGAGCGCTGGGAGCTGCAGCTCAAGGGCGCGGGCCCCACGCCCTTCTCCAGGTGGGCGCGCGCGGGGGGCCGCGGGCGGGCGGGGCGCGGGGCGCGCTCATGCCCAGGCTTGTCCTCCCTGCTTGGGGGTGAGATGGAACTGGAAGTTTGGTCTGGGGACAGACACTGCGGGGGGCGGGGGTGTCTCAGGATCCCGGCGGAGGGAAGGGCTTGTGCAAAGACCCGGAGGTCACAGGGAGAGGACAGAAGGGGGGACTGTGGCTGCCGAGCCTGCGCCCCCGCTGCGGGACTGGTGCCAGGTGCCCTTGGCCCCTCTGGCCGCCCCGGGAGGGGACCTGCTGGCCCTGGCCCCACTGCACCAGCCCCTGCTGTGTCCTGTTCCCGTAAACACACAAGGACTTTGGAGTCAGTTCTGCCTGTGACGCTGGGTTCGCCGCTTGCCCCGCGCAGCCCGCCTTGCCTGGGGAGGCAGGGCCGCCTCAGCCTCGCGCGCAGCCCAGGCTTGCTCTCCAGCATCGCTGCTGTGCGTCCACCCACAGAGGCGCAGTGTGTGGCCGGTGCCGGAGAGGGACCAGAACGCCTCAGATCCATGCCCCCAGTGGACGCTCTCCCAGACACAGGCTTCTGGGCACTTGTAGGCCAGGGACCTGGGTCGAGGTCCCCACGGCCTGGCCTGGCAGGGGGTCTGAGACCGGTCCTGCCTCTCACGCACCAGACCGCGCGGACCCTCTGTTCTGCTCTGTTCCACTAAACGCTTGGTGCCTTTAGTCCTTCTGTGCTAAATACTTGTTGGATGGCTAAAAAGCCACACCTAAGTTGTCATTTTCTGTGCAGAGAAGTCCTGAGGGCGTGTGTTCTGGCCAGTCCCTGTGCCCTCCCTGCCCCCCCAGGATCTGAACGCATCCCGCGCCCCCTGCCTGCCCCCCAGCAGCTCCATCTCCGACCCCCCAGAGTAACATCCTTCCTCCTCACCTTCCTGTCCCTGAAGTCTCCGGAGGTCAGCCTAGCGCCACTGCCACCACCCAGACAGCCTGCGCGGAGCTGTCCGCAGCGGCGAGGGAGGCGACAGTTGCTGCCCCTCGCAACGCCGCCTCGGGGCCTGTTCACTCTTCGAGCATCGTCAGACTTTGTGTGTTCAGTTTGGTCATTTATTTTTGCCGGTTACTAAGACCTTCTTGGGAGAGGAACCCTCTGGACATCTCTTATATTTGAAGACTTGAGTGTTTTAAGTCCATGTTTCTAGACTTGAGGTCTGCTAGAATATTTCTCTTAAAAGAAAGGGGTCATTTCACCTTTCCTCAGCGTGTGCTGGGGTCCCCGGCCTCAGCATGCCTGGAGGCAACGTCCCGAGTGGCTGCGTGTGGCTTCAGGCCAGCCCTGTTGGGTACCTAGATGGGGGCTTTGGGGGATGGGCGGGTGACCTCCTGCCTGCTGTGGGGTTGGGATTTCGGGAGATGCCTCTCCCGGCGGGTACAGAAGAGCTCGTCCTCAGCTGGGTCCACCCCACAGCTTGGCTGGGAACAGACACGGGTGTGCAGGAGAAGGGGCTGCTGTGGCATGTCGTGCTGGCCCTACGGGTACAGAGAGGCCCTTTATCCTTGCTGCGTAATTGTCCGATTCTGGCTTTTGCTTTGGGAACCCTGCCTTGGGCAAGAAGACAGGCCGCTCATTTTCAGGACCGTTTTTACCAATTCAAGATTAAACTGACCGGTGCTGGCTTCCTGCCGAGCATGAGGTCCCGCTGGGGGAGAGTCGTTCCCAGGGCCGGGGGTGGGCCGACATCTGAGGACAGGTCTCCTTGTCCCAGTTCGTCACGCGGACTAGGAGGAGGTGAGTGGAGCGCACTTGTCGCTCTGGCCAGAGGCTGACGCAGTGAGCCCTGCGGTGACCACCAGGTCTGGTCTCCAGAGGTGTCACTCACACCGCGACGAGACAGAACAGCAGTATTTGTGCCTAAGACCTTTATGAGGAGAACTGCAGCTGCTTAAAAGCTCGCAGAGGAAGACAGTGAACGGACGGCCGTACCCCACGCCCACGAATGAGAAGACCCCGTCTTGTCAGGAGGTCAGCTCTTCCCAGTTTGACTTACAGATTCAGTATGATCCCAGTCAGGGCGCCCAGGGGCCTCAGTCGGGGAGCGTCTGCCTTCGGCTCAGGTCATGATCCCGGGGTCCTGGGATCGAGCCCCGTGTTGGGCTCCCTGCTTGGCGGGGGAGTCTGCTTCTCCCTCTCTCATTCCCCCTGCTTGTGTTCTCTCGCTCTTCTCTCAAATGAATAAAATCTTTTAAAAAAGTACAATCCCGATCAAAATTTCAGCGGTTATTTTGCAGATACTGATGATGTGATTCTAAAGTTGACATGGAGAGGTGCGTGCTGAAGGACCGCAGAGTCGGGGCACGGACACTGCCTAACCCTAACCCTAACCCAGGCTTGACTGTAAAACTGTAGTAACGAAGAAAACGCAGAGCTGGTGGGAGGACGGGTCATGGACAACGGACAGACCCCCCATAAATGTGTCACTTACGACACAGGAGCAAAGGCGGTACATGGAGCAAAGACCATCATTCGAATAGTTGGTGCCGAAGCAACTGGACGTGTACAC